CCCAAAGGAACGTCTGGCGGCGGCCAGCAGCAAACAGGAAGTCCTCCCCTGGAGGTTTTTAAGAAGAGATTGGACAGAGGTGAAATCTAAAATTTGTTACTACCGGTTCTGTGGGCGTGGCTTGGTGGTGGGGGAGGTAATGTGACTGGGTGGGCGTGGCCATTTTTTTTTTACTTTTAAAACCATTTTTTCTACAATCTCTTCGGCTAAGAGGTTGTAAAAAAATGCTTTCAAAAGGCTCTGACGATCCCAGCTGAGTTCCCTGATCGGCAGAGGCTTTTTTAAAAAGCCTCTGCTGATCAGGGAACTCAGCTGGGATCGTCGGAGCATTTAAAAGAAAAAAAGGGTTTTTTTCTTTTAAATCCCTTTGACGAGCTGCGCAATCATCAGAGGCTTTTTTTTTTCTTTTAAAAGCATTTTTTCGGCCGAAGTTGTAGAAAAAATGCTTTTAAAAGTAAAAAAAAAGCCTCTGATGATTGTGCGACTCAGCTGGGCATGGGGGGTGGGTGGGATTTTTGCTACCAGTTCTCTGAACCACCCACCTCCATCGCTACTGGATCGGGCGATCTGGTCCGAACCAGGAGCATTTCACCCCTGTTGGACAGTCACTTCTCTGAAATGGCTTGAGCAGGAGGTTGGACTAGAAGACCTCCAAGGTCCCTTCCATTTATATTCTATTCTGATGATATTGGCTCTGAGCTCTGTTGTGTGAAGGAATCTGGAATAAAATAACACCAAATTTTATTGATTCCCTTTTCATTCAGAAACTCATGATGGCATATAAAGCACTTCCTGCATAGAATGCTGTAATTTACAGGGTAGTTTTTTTTTTGTCTTATTTGTCTCTTGAGAAACCTATATGCGAGTCAAGAACCAACAGTGAGAACTGGACACAGAACCACTGATTGGTTCAAAATTGGGAAAGGAGTCTGGCTATATACTGTTGCCCTGCCTATTAAACTTATATGCAGAGCACATCATGAGAAAGACGGGGCTAGATGAATCAGAAGTTGGAATTAAGATTGCGGGGACAAATGTCAACAACCTCAGATATGCAGATGATACCACTCTAATGGCAGAAAATGAAGAGGAACTAAAAAACATCTTGATGCAGGTGAAGGAGAGTGCAAAAGTTGGCTTGAAACTCAACATTAAGAAAACTAAGATCATGGCATCCAACCCTCTCAATTCCTGGCAAATAGATGGGGAAGAAATGGAGGTAGTGACAGATTTTATTTTCCTGGGTGTTGATTTTTCTTGATGCACCGAAGGCATTTGATAATGTGAAATTTATTTATTTATTTATTTATTTCAACTAGCTGGGCTGGCTTGAGTTAAATTTTAAATTGATTTTAAATTGGGTTGTTTTAATTTACGGCCAAATATTTAATTATTTTAATACTGTTTTTAAATTTTGTATGCTCTGTTTTTACCTTGGCTGTGCACCGCCCTGAGTCCTATTTGGAGAAGGGCGGTATAGAAATTTAATTAATAAATAATAAATAAATAAATAAATAAATGACACTTTATGCTGATGCAACTAAAAGTCATGGATTTTGGGGAGAGATTTATTAAGATGATTAAGATAATATACTATAAACAAACTGCAAAGGTAATGATAAACAGTGATGTCACGAGTGTTTTCAGGATTGCTGCAGCTACTTGATCAGTCACAAACAGTATGGTTTCAATTAAGCCATCTCCTGTTTGCAATTACCTGCAAGCCTTCCCCGCCCTAGTTAATTGCAGGTTAACTCCCCATATAAGCAAGGACCTTTTCGCTTGCTACTCGGGCCTGAACGCTGTTTAGGCCTAGATGCAGAAGCTCCTGCTGGAAGCTCGATGCAGAGCTCAATGCAACGTTGCAGAAGGGAGGAGAACACAGATAGGGACTCCAGACGCTGTTGCTGAGATACTCCTACGGATGCTTGCCTTTTGCTGTTTTGAAGCATGCAAGCCATCATCAGGACTGCGGCTGCTGGACATTCTTCCTCCCACAAGCTTCAAGCTACGTTTGCTGATTGAAATTGTTTTTTCTTCAGGTGACTTTTTTAGCTGTGAAGTTTATGCTGCCGCCCTTCTACTAGCTCGATGATGTATCGACTCCGAAGCTGCTTATTGTCATGTTAGCTTTTTTTCTTGTGAACTGTTTCGGTATTGTGGAGAGGAATCTAGGGAGATAGCCTGGCTTCACATAACCAAGATAAGACTTTGTTACTAATGTGCTTTTTTAAAGACATAGTGCTTTTTAAATGTTTTAAAGTAAATTATATTTTTACACAAGACGCCTCTGTCAGATTTATTTCAGTCCCAGTGTGTTTGCTCATGAGCTGGTTCACGGTCCGGAGTACCCTTCAACCCCACTTCATAACAAATGACATGACAGAAAATATTAGAATAATGAAGGGCACAAGGCAGGGATGTCCTCTGACCCCATTATTATTCGTGTTGATGTTAGAAGTATTAAACAGAAACATTAGACAGGACAAGGATATAAGAGGTATGGAAATAAAAAAGGAAGAATATAAATTACAAGACTTGGTTTTTATTTTAGAAGATCCGCAAGAAACAGGGCTAAAACTGTTAAAAGAAAATAGAAGAGTATGGTGAAGTGGCAGGGCTGAAAATAAATAAAGACAAGACTAAGATTTTAGTGAAGAATGTTTCAGAAAAACAAAAGAAAGAGCTAATGAAGAGATTAGATATTTAGATCACAAAAAAGGAAAATATTTAGGAATTCAATTAACAGCGAGATATGTAACGATTAAGATAATTACTATAAATTGATACAGCAAATTGATACAGATTTTGAAAATTGGAAAGGCTTGCAATTGTCGTTAATAGGAAGAATAGCTACAATTAGGATGAATGTATTGCCGAGGTTATTATATTTATTTCAAACAATTTCAATAAGATTGGAAAAAAATATTTTGGAGACCTTAATAAAATATACTTGGCAGGGGGAAAATAAATTAATTTTAAAATGCTACAGGATGCAAGAAGTAGAGGAGGTTTTGGATTACCAAATTGGGAATTATATTATCAGGCAGCAGTGTTAACATGGATGAAAGAATGGATTGTATTGAGAAATACAAAATTATTGCCACTGGAGGGAAAAGGGATGGCATGCCTTTTTATGGTATGGGAAGAATAAGATACATGGTTACTTTCACAGACATTATATAAGAAATGCCTTATTGTTAGTATGGGAGAAATTTAGAGAACAACAATATTTAAAGATACCAGTCTGGCTTTCGATGATGGAAGTACTAATACACCCAAATATTGTTAACATAGAAAATATTTTCAGATATAAAGATATTTTGACTGAAATGGGGGAATTCAAAAATAAGCAAGAATTAGAAAAACAGGAGATAGACATGGCTTAGTATGCACAACTGCAAATACAATCTAGGTATGAAAAGGATGCTAAATTATATGGCTTTTATATGGAGTTGACAGAGTTAGATAAGATACTAACAGGAACAGAAGAGAGGATAATAAAGAAAAACCTATATAGCTATTTACTGAGTATTAAATCAGGAGAACAAGTGAAGGAAACAATGATAGCCACAGTTATACAATAGAACTAGCAAAATGGCAGCAATTATGGGATAGAAATTAAAAATTAACAATGTCAACTGTGTATAAAGAGAATTTGTATAAGATGTTTTACAGATGGCATTTGCCACCGACAAGATTGGTGAAGATGTTTAAAGATAAATCAGCTAAATGTTGGAAATGTCATCAGACACCTGGCTCATATATGGTGGATATATGTAGAAGTTAAAAAATATTGAATAAAAATATGCACATGATTGGAAAAGATCATACAACAACATATTGACTTGAAACCTGACATATTTCTGTTGGGGATCTTACCAGAAATCTATAGTAAAGAAAATGTATATTTGATTATTCATGTAGTAACTGCAGCTAGAATTGTATTTGTACAAAACTGGAAAAGTGAAGAGATTCCTACAGAGGAGAATATGTTAAGGAAAATATTAGATTGTGCAGAAATGAATAGATTTAACACTGGCAATTAAAGAGAAAGAACAAACTGGTTATTATGCGATATGGGAAACATTTTATTGATGGTTAGAGGATAAATATTTTAATAAAAATTAGAAATAAAAGTAGATGAGTAAAATATAGAAAACAGTTAATAGAGTTAAGCAAACTAAGAGGAGGATGTAAAGTATCAGATATTTAATGTATTGAAATTAAGCCAAGAATAGATTAAATAATGAATATGATTGTAAATTTTAACTTACTACACAAACATTTGAACCAAGACGACACACAATGGAAGATGGATTATTTGTACTTTTAAAAAAAGCTATTTGTGTAATTCTATAAAATCCTTCATGAACTTTTACAGCTGGGCACATAGCTAATCTTTGTAAGCCAAGCAGCATCACATTTCACTAGGCTCAGAAGACAAAAACGACTTGATAGCATTTAATCAGTGGAAACATGTTGCAAACGCCTTAGGTAGAGACTTGAGAAGCATGTTTTTCTGCCTCCTAGCTGGAGATGGTGGTCAAACAGGCAACACCTTACTGTTGCGGGTAATATCTGTGGTTGAGCTTAAAGGAGTTAAAACCATCGAGTACTGTATTGCTAGAAATGTTGGAAGGCGAGGGAAGAGTAGAAGGCAGTCGAGTTTCCTTTTGAAAAAGCACCTTTGGGACAGCCGAACTTCCTCTTCCGAATGACTGATGGGAGGAAGTTGGTGTGCAGAGCGGCTTTTGTGCTGTTTCCATGGTGGAAGCAGCAGCTGCCAGGTGAGTGGAGGGCAGCAGGTGGGAGGAGAGTCCGGGAGCAACTTGGGCTGGAAGCGGAGGAGCAACTGGGCTGAAGCCTCTCAGCTGCGGCTGCTGCAGGTTCCTTCCCTCCCCAAATGGAAGCCCACTGGTGCTGCAGGCTGGGAAACTGGGGGCTGCAATTTCTGCTGGTGGGGAGCTTGAAAAAGCCTCTTTCAAGTGGAGGTTGGTTCTTTGGGAATGGCTTCCCTCCAGAGGTTGTGGCTGCTCCGTCCCTGGAGGGTTTTGAGGGGCGATTGGGCAGCCATTTGTTCTGGATGGAACAGATATAAAATGTATTGGCCACCAACCTTACCATGACATAACTGTGGGCGGCTTAGAGACAGAAAATAATACATACACGTTAAAATCTAAACAAATTGTAGGAAGAAAAATCCGGTGCGGTTCCAAGCCAGGAGAAAGGAGCTGGAAATAAAATGCTTAGTGACACAATTGCAGTCGGTAAGTGAGGACTACTTCAATTGGGATGTCACCAAAGGGATTGTGGAAAGTATTTTCTGCCTTTACTTGGAGTTCATGGCTTCCATGGGCATAACTGGTGCTTCAAATCTTGCAGAGGCTTTAAGCATCATTTGGTCATTTAAAGTCCCGACATCTGTAAAGTTAGTGTCATGCAGATTGTCAGGTGTGGCTCAATAAAATAAAAGAGTTCAAGTGTGTTTATTGATAAGCCAACTTCTTATCAAGAAGTTATTGATAAGCATTTCTTCAGCTGAATAAAGATGGGTCCCTCCTAAGAAGGAAGGAACCCTGAACATAGTGAAAGGCAGATATTTATACATTTCTTTGCTTTTGCTTCATTACATAAGAGGCAGCTGAGACACGACAGATAAAGTATAGAAATATAGAAATTATAAAAATTATAAAAATAGTCAAGCATGCCTTCTGTGATTTTGGTCACCTGCCTAACAGACAGGCTACTGGTTTCCTGTGTACGTTTCCATGGCCTCAGGAGACTGTTGCGGACTGAACTTCGTCCTTACCATCTCAACATTTCCTTGATTTCTATGATTTTATATATCGGGATGTAGTAAAAATCAATTGGTCCTTAGAAGTTCTTAGAGGTAGGTTAATACAATCACAAAGGAACAACAACACATGACATATTACATCAGGTCATCTTTTATTTTATAAAAAGAAAGCCAAAACAGAGAAGTCATGTGTAAAAAAAAGTATGATTTAATAATTTGTAGAACCACCTTTAGCAACAACAACTAGAAGTAATTCTTTTCTGTATGACTATCAATCTCTTGCAGTGTTGTGGAGGAATTTTGACCCTCTCTTCTTTACAACATTGCTTCAGTTTATTGTGGTTTGTGGGTGTGTTTCATGCACAACTCTCTTGAAGTCCCGCCAATCGGGTTGAGGTCTGGACTTTGACTGCCATTGCAACACCTTGATTCTTTTCTTTTCCAGCCATTCTGTTGTAGATTTGCTGATGTGTTTTGCATCCATTGTCCTGTTGTTTAATCCTATATCAGCCAAGCTTTAGCTATTGGACAGATGACATCACTTTTGACTCTAGAATACTTTGGTATATAGATGAGTTCATGGTCAATTCAAAGAGTGTAAAGTGTCCAGGTCCTGTGGCTGCAAAACAAACCCAAATCATCACCCCTCCACCACCGTGCATGATGGTTTATATGAGCTACTTGTGCTGATATGCTGTGTTTGGTTTTCGTCAAACGTGTCACTGCATTACGGCCAACCAAGTCCACTTTGGTCTGGTCTGTGCAAAGGACAGTGTTCCAAAAGTCATGTGATTTGTTCAGATGCAACTTTGCAAACCTCAGCCATGCTGCTATGACCTTTTTAGAGAGAAGAAGGTTTCTCCTCACAACCCTTCCAAACAAACCATATTTGTCCAGTCTTTTTCTAATTGCACTGTTATGAATCTTAACATTTAACATGCTAACTGAAGCCGGTAGAGTCTGAGATATAACTCTTTGTTTTTTTAGTAATTTCTCTGGCCATTGCATGGTCTGGCCTTGGGGTGAATTTTCTTGGATGTCGAGTCCTGGGAAGATTGGCAACTGTCTTGAATGTTTCCCACTTATGAATAATCTTTTTAACAGATTAAGAGAGTTGGAAGGTACTTTATAGGTCATCTAATCCAACCCCCCCCACTCAAGCAGGAGACCCTACACCATTTCTGACAAATGGCAGTCCAACCTTTTCTTGAAAGTCTCAAGTGATGAAGCTCCCACAACTTCCAAAGGCAAGCTGTTCCATTGGTTGATTGTTTTCACTGTTAGAAAGTTCCTCCTTATTTCTAGGTTGAATCTCTCCTTGGAGCTTTGGAAAATAGCTTGACCCCCTCCTCTCTGTAGCAGCCCCTCAAATATTGGAAGACTGCTATTATATCTCTCCTGGTCCTTCTCTTCACTAGACTAGCCATGCCCAGTTCCTGTAACCATTCTTCATATGTTTTAATCTCCAGTCCCCTAAGCATCCTGGTTGCTCTCTTCTGCACTTTTTCTTCCTGCCACCGGTAGCCTTCCATCGCCCGGTCTGTTTCCACAGAGATGGCCTTCTTAGGGTACATTCGGCTAGACAATGTCGACTGGTGACCCCTAGGGGGAGAGCCTTCTCTGTGGGAGCCCCTACCCTCTGGAATATGTTACCCCTGGAGCTCCGGATAATCCCCGACCTCCGAACCTTCCGTCGGGCCTTGAAGACCTGGCTCTTCCAACGGGCGGGCCTGGGTTGACTCTAAACTGATTTTGTAGCTTTTAAAATTCCTAAATCTTACATTTGAATTTGTATTCCCACGTTTAACCTTATTTATTGGATATTCTGCTTGAATTTGTCTTTTAACTTTTGTATTTTCTGTTCTTAGTGTTGTGAGTCGCCCTGAATCCTTCGGGAGAAGGGCAGCATACAAGTCCAATACATAAATAAATAATGCATTTTTTTGATCTCTTGCCACGTTTTAAGCAAAGGTCCTCTAATAATGTGGCTTTGAAAATATCCATGATGTTTATCTCATCCCTCCCATAAGAATGCGTGCCAGCCTCTTTGTAGGTCAAAACCCTCTTAATGTTAATATCCTTTTGTTTTTAAATTCTATCCAATTTCTTATCCAAATTAGTGATGTCGCTTTATAGTATGTTTGCCAATCTGGTAGTCCTAATCCACCTTTCCCTTGTATGTCCTGGAGATGTTTTATTTGATTCTTGCCTTCTTCCCTTGCGAAATATAGTCTGTAATCATTTTATTGAAGTCTTTGAAAAAATATTTTCCTGGGTTTATCGGAATTACTTGGAATAAATATAGTATTCTAGGTAATACATTCATTTCAATGGATGCAATCCTTCCTAGAAATGATAGCTGTACCTTACTCCATATTTCTAGGTCTTTTTTTATCTGTTTTGCCAATTTATTATAATTATCCTCCCTAAGTGTTGACCCTTTGTTGGAAAGCCAAATTCTTAAATGTTTACTTTTTTTACTATTTGTATTCCTAATTTATCTTCCAATTCTTTTTCCTGTAGGTTTGTAAGGTTCTTCGTTAATGCCTTTGTTTTTTGTTTATTAATTTTTAGTCCGGCCACTCTTCCATACTCTTCTATTTTAGCCAACAATTTTGTTCCTGTTTTTGCTGGTTGTTCTACGTCATCTGATAAGTAAATTCATAAAATTCAATGAAAGCGAATGTACTTTCTTTTTCACTTGACTGTATGTGAAAACAACACTTTGCATTGCTAAGAATTTGTGATTGGCCCAGTCAACAAGGGAATTTCATCATTGAATGGATATTCGAACTTGGATCTGGGTAGTCTTCCATGTGTCAAATGAATCATGATTGATACAGTATAAGAGCTTCTTTGAGTATTGTGGCATGTTTGCTTTTTCATTGTAATGTAAAAGTTTTTCTTTTTTTCTCATCTTCTGCAGCCATTTCGTGCACAATTAAAAATACATTTTTATTTGAATCTTATAGACAAAGAAGATGGCAATGAGCACTCTGGACAACTGAGGATAACAAGCAACATTGAAGACCAAAGCAGGTCAGTCCAAAAATCAATATATCTTCCATTTCCTTCAGAGAGCCACACAATTCTTAATCTTCCTCAGCAAGTGAGAGGAAAACGAGAGAAAATCAGGAAGAGATTTCTAGCTGGGAAAAGCAGAGTGTGAAATTCAAGCATACATTACATGAAAAGTCAAGGCAGATTATTTTTCCATTGGGCAAAAGAGGGAAATATCTGGAAGTTACTGGGGAGGAAAAGGTCAATTGGAAAACCACGTAGAGCAGACAGAGTTGCAGGCCCACTCTGGGAGGAAGAAAACGGCTTGAATAAAAACACTGCTAAACAAGGAACCATCCATATTTTGGACCTCCAAAGGAATATGAGTTGTGGAAAAGCTCCATAGATGTGCCTGTTGTGGGAAAGATACAACTTGCAAATCACAGCTGATTATGCCTGAGAGGATCCCGACTGGAGAAGAACCATATAATACTCTAAATGTGGCAAAACCTGGTTAGACACCATAGGACTCACACAGAAGAGAAACCCTTTGAGTGTCCTGATTGTGGTAAAAGTTTCAGTCACAATTCCAGCCTGGTGAAACACCAGAGGATTCACACGGGAGAAAAACCCTTTGAATGTCCTGACTGTGGGAAAAGTTTCCGTCAGAATTCCAACCTGGTGAAACACCAGAGTATTCACACAGGAGAAAAACCCTTTGAATGTCCTGACTGTGGGAAAAGTTTCCGTCAGCATTCCAGCCTCATCTGCCACCAGAGGACTCACACAGGAGATAAACCCTTTGAGTGTCCTGATTGTGGTAAAGGTTTCAGTCAGAATTCCAGCCTGGTGAAACACCAGAGTATTCACACAGGAGATAAACCCTTTGAGTGTCCTGATTGTGGTAAAAGTTTCAGTGAGAATTACAGCCTGGTGAAACACCAGAGGACTCACACAGGAGAAAAACCCTTTGAATGTCCTGACTGTGGGAAAAGTTTCAGTCACAATTCTAGCCTTGTGATACACCAGAGGATTCACACAGGAGAAAAACCCTTTGAATGTCCTGACTGTGGTAAAAGTTTCCGTCAGAATTCCAACCTGGTGAAACACCAGAGGACTCATACAGGAGAAAAACCCTTTGAATGTCCTGACTGTGGAAAAAGTTTCAGTCAGAATTGGAACCTGGTTCAACACCAGAGGATTCATACAGGAGAAAAAACGTTTGAATGTTCTGATTGTGGTAAAAGTTTCGGTACAAATTCCACCCTGGTTCAACACCAGAGGATTCACACAGGAGAAAAACCCTTTGAATGTCCTGACTGTGGGAAAAGTTTCCGTCAGAATTCCAGCCTGGTTCAACACCAGAGGATTCACACAGGAGAAAAACCCTTTGAATGTCCTGACTGTGGGAAAAGTTTCAGTACGAATTCCACCCTGGTTCAACACCAGAGGATTCACACAGGAGAAAAAACGTTTGAATGTTCTGATTGTGGTAAAAGTTTCAGTCAGAATTCCAGCCTGGTTCAACACCAGAGGATTCACACAGGAGAAAAACCCTTTGAATGTCCTGACTGTGGGAAAAGTTTCAGTACGATTTCCACCCTGGTGAAACACCAGAGTATTCACACAGGAGAAAAACCCTTTGAATGTCCTGACTGTGGGAAAAGTTTCAGTCAGAATTTCAACCTGGTGAAACACCAGAGTATTCACACAGGAGAAAAACCCTTTAAATGTCCTGACTGTGGGAAAAGTTTCAGTCAGAATTTCAACCTGGTTCGACACCAGAGGATTCACACAGGAGAGAAACCGTTTGAATGTTCCGATTGTGGTAAAAGTTTCAGTCACAATTTCAGCCTGGTTCAACACCAGAGAATTCACACAGGAGAAAAACCCTTTGAATGTCCTGACTGTGGGAAAAGTTTCAGTCAGAATTTCAACCTGGTTCGACACCAGAGGATTCACACAGGAGAGAAACCGTTTGAATGTTCTGATTGTTGTAAAAGTTTCAATCAGAATTCCAGCCTGGTTCAACACCAGAGGATTCACAGCAGAAAAACCCTTTAAATGTGCTGACTGTGGGAAAAGTTTCCGTCAGCATTCTAACCTCATCGGCCACCCTTTGAGTGTCCTGATTGTGGTAAATGTTTCAGTCACAATTCCAGCCTGGTGAAACACCAGAGGATTCACACAGGAGAGAAACCGTTTGAATGTCATTTCTAGTGTCCCATTGTAAGTCCAGCTGAGATATTGACTATTTAAATTGATTAAATTAAATAGAATTTGCCTGATTTTTTGTAGGCAAATATGCAATGGTATTAGATGCAGCAGAGGAAAGAAAAAGTTGGAACATATTACTTTGATAATGGCTATCTTGCTTTCAGCATAAGAAGTTGCTCGATATTTATTTTTGTAAAAATTTGGCTATTATGTAAAAAACTTTTTGGGAGTGTTCTTTGCATTTTTGTGATGGTGGATGATAGAAATGCTATGTGCCAGGAGTCCCAGCCTTTTTCTCCCTGGGGGCCCCCAAGATTTTCAGCCTCAGAATTCTCCAGCCAGCATCTCTTGGGGATTGGAGCCCTGAGACTATAGTTAAAGAGATTGTGCTTCTTCATATAAGGAAAAAACAAGCAGAGAAGAGACATGAGGGCTTTTTTTCAATATTCTTCTTTTTCTACCCTGTTTTCCCCAAAATAAGACATCCCCTGATAATAAGTCCAATTGTGCTTTCAAGCGCATGGCAATAAATCCAAGCACTTATTTCAGGATTCAAAAAAATATAAGACAGGGTCTTATTTTTGGGGAAACACGATAACAGTTCCAGAAATTCAGTGCACCAAGCATGTCTGTTCAGATTGTGTCAAGAATGAGGCACGCAAGTGGAAGAAACCATATGAATAGCAAATATATTGGGGGAGTTTAGGGCAGTGAGAAAAGCAATGTAAAATTTCAGATATAAAGGCTGTTCTGCCCTGCAGGTGACCTTCATGGTTCAAAAGCCAAAAGAAGCAATTTGATTGAAACATGTCAGTTGCTACATTTTCCTTCTCTCCCCAGATTTTATTCCATTTGTGGTACATGCTTTAAAACTGGTTCTCCTTCATATGAGGGTGGCTTCATTGTGATTCGCTTGACTGTTTTTCACACAACCACTGCAGCAACCCCATGGTCACATGTTCAAAATTCAGGTGCTTAGCAAAACACCCATGAGTATGATGGTTGCAGTGTCCCAGACTCATGTGATCCTCTTTTTGCACCTTCTGACCAACAAAGTCAACAGGGAAGCCAGATTCAATTAACAACCGTGTGACTAATTTAACAACTTCAGTGATTCACTTAACAACTGTGGCAAGAAAAGTTGTAAAATGGGACAAAACTCACTTAACAGATGTCTCACTTAGCAACAGTGAATTTTTGGGCTGAATTGCAGTATCAGAGTTGGAAGCGACCTTAGAGGTGGTCTAGTCCAACCCACCGATCAAGACAGGAGACCCTATTCCATTTCAGACAAGAGACTGTCCAGTCTCTTCTTAAAAGCCTCCAACCGGAACCCTGTCCTTTAATGCCGCTGAAGCTCTTGGGATCATTTCATCAATTAACATCCTCCCCTTGCTTTAAAGTTAGATCAAAAAGTGTGAGTGTATTGTATGGCGTAATCACGACAGACACACCCCTCCACCCAAAGAATGAAATATTTTGGAGAATATTAAAAAGAGGCAGAATATTATATTTTCCCAAAGGAGAAATGGAGAAAAAAATACTAGCAAAGGCAGAAAACAGCCACAACAGTTTCCAGCAGATGCCTGAAGTTTTTAGAGATGGATATTTTGTGACCATTAAGAAATGTAGGCCAGCCTATTCACAAACAAAACACCTAGAATGCCAATGATGGGATTAAAATTTACATTTCCCCACCCAAAATCTAAGGACAGGACCTGACCTTTTAGTACACAGATCCTCAAAGTACAGCCTGTGGGATGGCTACGGTCTGCTGAAGCAATGTATTGGGCCCACGCAGTTGTGGGATTCCGCCCTGCCCTTAGCCCCATCCCTATCAGCCATTCCTTGCATGGCTGGCTGTGTCACCTGCATCGCCCGTTCTCTAGCCATCGCCCTTATCTTCCAGCCCGCGGGGGTATGCAAACCGCAAAGGTAAGGGCGAGGGGGAGGGTGGGCAGGGGAGGGCGTGTTTCACAATGGGGAAGACAGGGTCTCCTCCTCCTGGAGCCCATTATGACGTGGATCCACAATGTGACCCTGCCCCACTCTCCCCTGACAACAGCAGCGTCGGCTCGTTTTCGCCTCCCAGATGTCAGTCACTTGTCCTGCAGATACTACAGGCTGCCTGTCTTGTGATGCCCTGCCTCCCTGCCAGCCAGGTGGTCTTTGGGTCTCTGCCGACCAGCTGATCATCAGTGTGCGGCTCATCAGCCTCTGGATGTCAGATTCTCATCATCTAGCACCAGTTCAGGGGTTCCTTCCCTCCCCCCCCCCCCGGACAGACAGAGACAGACAGAGACTGAGGAAGGGAAGGAAGGATGATAGGAAGGAAGACAGATTCAGGGGTTTTGGTAAAAACTGTAGTTCAGTAATAAGGATGTGATGGCCCTCCAGTGGCTACTTAATTACACTCCCATGATTCCTATTAGTTGTGCTGTTAAAAAAATCCAGTGCCACCAGGGAGAAGTCAAGTTGTGAGTGATTGAAATTCCTCACATTGAAACTAAGTGGTGATAGGTCATAACAGAGGTATGTATTCTCCCTGACACATTTTCTTGTTATGTGCCCTATGATTTAAATTTCAGATAAACGTATTTCTTTACTGTTGTCTTGTTAATTCAGCAAGCTATCTCAGGGCACTGCCAGGGTTGACGGTGATCCTGCAGAAGATGCCTCAGGAGCCAGTCTTATCTCTGTACCCATCAAGCATTCCATGTCCTGGTTTCTCTTCCCCACCCCCATTTGCTTTTGTAGCACACTTTTCTTTCCTTTGATATAACAGGTAAAAGTCTCTGAATGTACCTGAGAGCTAAATTTTAGTTGTACTTGAAATCTTAATTTCTCCGGAGGGAATCAAATAGTGGAGGGAGGGAGAGAGAGAGAGAGATAGACGGAGAGAGAGGGAGGGAAGGAGGGAAGGAGGGAAAAAGAGAAAGAGAGACTGAGACTTGTTGATTGTAGGCTCCCCATCTATCCCCTCGTCACTGATGAAGATGTTGAAGAGTACTGGGCCTAAAACAGAGCCTTGGGGTACTCCACTGCATACTTCCCTTCATGTAGATGCAGTTCCATTGAGGACTACACGTTGAATGCGGTTGGTCAGCCAGTTACGAATCCATCTGGTGGTGATGCTGTCTAACCCACATTTTTCTACTTTATCTAGTAGTAGGTTATGGTCTACTTTATCAAATGCCTTACTGAAGTCCAAGTAAATTATATCGACAGTATTCCTCTGGTCCACTAATTTTGTCACTTTGTCAAAGAATGCAATAAGACTAGTCTGGCACGATCTGTTTTTGACAAACCCATGTTGCCTTTTGGTTATCACTTTGTTTGCTTCTAGGTGTTCGCTGATTCATTGCTTGATTATCTTTTCCAGAATCTTCCCTGGTATTGAGGTCAGGCTGATAGTTTCTTGGATCTATTTTTTTTTTTCCTTTTTTGAAGATGGGAACTACATCAGCTCTTTTCCAGTCCTCTGGCTGGAAAATCCTGTGCTCCAGGATCTCTGAAAGATATAGTTCAGTGGTTCTGAGATCTCGTCTGCCTGTTCCTTCAGAACCTTGGGGTATAATCCATCCGGTCCTGGTATTTGAACTCGTTTAGGGTAGACAGGTGTTCACTTACCATTTTTTCCCCTACTTTAACTTGTGTTCCTAATCTGTTTTTGATAGGTTGGACTGTTTTTTCCTTTCGTGTAAAGACAGATGCAAAAAACGAGTTAAGTAGTACTGCTTTCTCCCTGTTGCTTGTCACCTTCTTGCCACTTTCTCCCAACAATGGACCAATTGTTTCCTTGACATTTTTCTTTTCCATGTCCATTTAATTTGTATTTTATGGTTTGTTTGTTTTTTGCCAATGTGCAAGGCAGAGCATTTATAGGTTGAGATTTGAAGTTGCCACTTGTTAGACCAATCTGACACATAGTCAAGGTTTTTTTGAAGGGTAGTTGCATTGTCGGTGGTGTTGAATAGTTTAACATCATCAGCGAAGATAACGCAGTTGCTTTTAATATGATCACAAATGTCATTTATGTAAGGTATGAAGAGTGTTGAACCTAAATCACTGCCTTGTTTCCTTGACATTTTTCTTTTCTTTTCTTTTCTTTTCTTTTCTTTTCTTTTCTTTTCTTTTCTTTTCTTTTCTTTTCTTTTCTTTTCTTTTCTTTTTGTGAACAAGTTTTATTAAAAATTTCCTGTTACATACATATTTTATGCACAGAGTATTGACCAGGTCACATCTTTTACAACTTACAATTATATATATTTTATAATCTGTTCCAATCTACTTTTTTAGTTTCTCCAAATACAATTTGCATATTTCAATTTCTGCCATGGTTTTCTTTTCCTCTACTTTATTTTATCTTAATCTCTTCTTAATACATAGTATATAAACAATATTACCATCCGCCTTTCACATCCTAATTTCTTAACCTTACTTCACACATTTTTACATTTCAAGTTTATCTCTTAATTTCAATTATTTTCATAAATGGACCAAATTATCACTTCATATTTCATCCACTGTTCATTTTACAATACACAATATATATCGTCATCTTTATTTGTTATCTTCACAATTACTAATATTAATACAGCCCCCTTAACTCTATTATTATATACCTTATTTCCCTTCCTTCTTTCTGCTATTCTTCCCCTTTTAAACATTTTCTTTTGATCCCTCCAGTATTCCACTTCTTAATGTTTTTCTCCCTTTCTCCCATTCTCTTGTCTTCGTCTTCTTCTTTTCCTTCTTTTTATAATTATTATATCTTTTCTTCTGAATTCTTTCTCTTACTTTTAGGTCTATTACTCGCATAGTTCACCCCACATTTTTGTCTAATCTGTTCCCATTTCCTTCTCTTCCCTTTGCTTGCTTCTTTTTTAGCAAATATTTCCTCCTATCCCTTCCTTTTTGCCACCGTTAATCCCAGTGTAATCATTTAGCTTTTTACTTCCACTTTCTTTGCCTACAATATTATTTTCTTGCTTCTCATTTATGATCTCTGTCCTGTTGAGTATGTTCTAACAAAATTTCTGACTTTTTATTAACCTTTAATGATTCACACATATTTTTAACCATCTCAATTAATTCCTGACACATATTGATATTTTAGCTTGTATTTAATTAAAATTTAAGTCCATATACTTATGTCCAGCTGTTTTTTGTATTTCACCTCCTTTAGCAGTCGAGGCCAAACAGTTTGAGTAAAAACAAATACTCCTTAGTTTTTCTCACAACTCTTGTAGTGCCCAAGCTCACTATAGTTATTTTATTTATTTTTATTTATTTATTTATCTATTAGTTCGATTTATATGCCGCCCTTCTCCGGAGACTCAGGGCGGTTTACAATGCATTAAGCAATAGCCTTCATACTTTTGTATATACCTGTTAGTAGGGCTTTCGCCCCCCCCTTCCAGGGGTGTTCTTTTTTATACAAAGTCAACTTATTGCCCCCACAATCCGGTTCCTCATTTTACCCATCTCAAAAGGATGGAAGGCTGAGTCAACCTTGAGCCTGGTGAGATTTGAACTTGCAGTAATTGCAGGCAGCTGGCAGCTTAAGTGCTAATTTAACAGCACTTTAGTCCACTGCGCCACCAAGGCTCCATTGAATTTTTTTTACAATTTTCAAGCTATTCGTTGTAGTGCTTTCCTTTCACCAGTAGATGTCTCTCTCCAATCCACAATTTTCAGAGACACAAAGTGTCCAATTTGCAAAAGTATTTTAAATCCACATATCAAATATTTTCTTTCAATTTTCTTCTTCTTTTCTTGCTTTCTCAAATTCAAATTTAAATCCAGTTGTAAATTTGTTGCTATTTTAACTTCCTCTTTGTTCTTCATTCAGAATTCAAAACTCTCAAAACTGTCAAAATTATTTCAAATCCTGTTTAACAAGTATTTTCCCTCAGGTTTCTTTTTCTTATATCAATTTTAGTTTCTCCAAATCCATTTTCAAATCCAAATAAAAAGTTTTCAAATAAAAGTGTTTTAACTTGTTCTTCTCCCTTCATTAAAATTCCCAAGTGCAAATAGCCGCTATTTCCTCGCCGGGACACCTTTTAAACTTTTTTTAAAAATTTCCTTTTTACCTGTGAGTTGGCCAGTCACTCACCCAGTACCAATACTCTATCCAAACACTGCTCGTGCACAATTCTTATTCCAGTTGCCCCCACTTCAAAGCAGTCATAATGGCCGCCACCCCCACCACCGGTTCAAAGAGCTTCCTCCAGCCTTTCGAGGAACTTGCCTGTTCCTCTTGGTCATCTGAGGCCCCTCTCCTTCTTCACTGCCCCTACAAGACTGTTCCGGTCCAAAGAACCCCCCTAATTCACAGGAGTATAAAAAGTGGGAAGAAGGTCCAAAGAAGAAACTTGTATGTGATTTTTCCGAAAAAGAAAACATGACTCAACTTACCAAAAACAGAACAGTAAATGACAGGTTAAGAATGCAAATTAAAATACAGGTAATACCTGGGTTACGAGCGTTCCCTTAGCCAACATTTGAAGTTACACAAATACTGCGAGACCATGTGAAATAAGTAGCATGAGATCTTGTGCTACTGATCTCATGTGATCTCACCCTTTAGGCCTCTATTCTCTTGAAATTGAAACATTTGCAAATGGATGGAAGGCTTCAGGCCTTCAGGTCTTCCTTCCATTTGCTGTTTCGTTGCCGAAGCCTGCAGGGAGATTGCGTTCATGTAGGCTTTGGCAGCAATATGCAAAACGCTTTTGTTGGCACCAGCAGAGCTTGGGAGGAGCGGGCGTGTCCCTATGAAGCCCTACTCCTACCGGCAAAGACTTTTTGAAAAGGGCTGCCGAAACCTAAAGGGTCGCAATTCTCAAGCTCTTTGGCAACAAGAAAGAAGGCCTGAGAGGCTGCGCGCAGCCTCTCAGGGCTGCTTTCTTGGTGCCAGAGGCCTTATCAAGCCTTTAGGTGACAAGAAAGGATCTGTGGGTTGGGGGAGGCCTTGGGTGGTCTGAAGTGGGTATCCTCTTTCCTCCCTAGGTCCCCTTTGGCCTTCCCCACCGCAAGATACATCATGTGCACTTAACAAGCCTTACATTCGATTAGCAAATGGTTGGGCAAACGGAGGGAGTGATCACCTTCAAATGACAAGATTCACTCCCACGAATCCTCGAGTTACAAAGAATGGAATTGCCAGGCTCCATTATAGTTGTGGGGTGTCCCCAGTTCACACTGGTTCTATAGAACCGGTAGTAAAACTGGCGGGAGGGTTCGCCCACCGACTCCATCATCAGAATGCTTCTGCACATGCGCAGAAGAGCGTGCGTGGTCCTGTTGTGAACCAGTAGTAAAGATAATAATAATAATAATAATAATAATAATAATAATAATAATAATAATAATAATAATAATAATTTATTTATATACCACCCTCCTCCCAAAGGACTTGGGGCAGTGTACAGCCAAAATTAAAAACATAAATATACGATATCATAGTTAAAATTAATTAAAATCATTAAATAGTTTTGGCCGAATTTTAAAACCCAAAGTTAAAACCCAATTTAAAATCATTCAATTAGACAGCCCCGCCTGTCGAAACAGTAGGGTCTTGAGGGTACAGCAAAAGAC